GCCAAGGCGCGCATTGGGTAGCAGGTGGGTGGACTGAACGGGCCAGTCGCGTGCAGAACAACTGCCGAGGCGTGCATGCACGTGCAGAATGCCGAGGCGAAGTGCAGAAGCAGAGGCCGAGCGCCCCCCGGCTGACAGCTGGGCAGGGGACGAGCTCGAGAGCCGCGTGGCGGGGGGCGCCGAGTGCAAGCCGGACGCCGCTGGCGGCGTAAAGCCCGCGAAAGGCCGAGCCAGCGTCACCCGACGGACTGCCAGAACACGCAGACTGAGCGCAACGACGACGTAACCAGACAGGCACGACAGGCAACGAGGGGAGGGCGACAGGCCACCGGCCGATCCCCCCTGGGGCGGACTGACTGCAGCAGCCGTGTCAGCCCGCAGCGTGCCAGAGTGAGGACCGCCCTGCCTCTCGCGGCACTACCCGTGCTCACGAAGAGCAGCGCCGAGGCCGGCGACAGAACGATGCAGAGGAGAGGCGGAGGGCCCGGGATGTGGCAAGGGCGCTGGGAGAGGCGAGATCCTGACACAAAGGCCCACGCCAGGGTGGCCCTGCACAGGCACAGGTACCAGGGTAGGGATGCTGATGGGCCTGTTCCACCATAAGTTGGAGGGGGGAAGGAGGAGGAGGAGGGAGGAGGAGGAGGAGGAGGAGGAGGAGGAGGAGGAGGACCCCCTCCACCCCAAACTTCTGGTGGTGGTGGTGGAAAACAGGCCCATCAGATGCAGCTTCATGAGGACCAGAGCTATTAACAGCCAGCGTCGGCGCCAGCCGCACCAAAACTTGAGAAAAAACAGGAACCAACGAGTCGGGCTTCTGCTGGCTTGGGTCTATGCACAACCGGGTCAGTCAGGCTTTGCAGGATCCTGGTAAATCCTGCAGGATCCTGAGCGCTTTAACTTGGGTCCATGCAGCCCTGGGCCTCGCAGGATCCTGCGAGATCCGGCTCTTTGGCTGACCCCCGTTTGCAGTGAGCCCTGTCGCAAGGCACTCGAGCGAGTTGGGGGCGAATTGTTGGGGGGCGATTAAGGGGGGGAGAGAAAGGTGCCCACTTCGGGCCCTAAGGATCCCCTTCTGGGCCCTTGGGCCCCGTTTGCGGCAGCCCTCGCTGCCCCCTATCCATCGCCCCCCATTGGGCGCCCTCCAGCACGAGTGCCTAAGCGTCGGCGCCGGGCAACGCGGCGAATAAGCGAGCCAGCGCGAGCCACGGGTGAGGCCGGACACGGCCCCAGAGCCCCCAGCAGGGTGGCACCCCCCCCAGAGCCCCCCCCCCAGCAGGGTGGCCCCCCCCAGAGACCGGCCCCAGAGCCCCCCCCCCAGCAGGGTGGCCCCCCGCGCAGGCGTCCCGGCCCGAAGGTGGCGACGCAGGTCCACGCCCAGCAAAGGGCCACAGTGGTTACAGTCAAAACTGATAACGAAGAGGCACGACACTCGCCAACGCTCGGACGTCCGATCCCCGTGCATATTCGGCTTCGTGCGTGAATTGTTCGCAAGATGGCCACAAATTCTAGTCGATGGTACTTGCCGAGAAGTAATGCACACGTCCGAGCGATGCCAAGGATGCACGACAAGGATGCAAGCCACTTGGACGTCCATGGCGAAGCTTTTCGAGCGGGGATGGCCATCGAAAGTGGTGACGGTTGAACCGGAGAGGCAAGGCTGCAAAGGTAATCACCCCTGGGAAAGCAAACCCTCCTTCAGAACGGTTTCGAGCTTATACAGGGGGGGCGCGGGCAGTGCAGGCGTTGGCCGAGCCCCAATCGCGTGCGAACCCCCATCCCTGCCAAGAGGCTGCACCGCTGGTACAAGAGGTGCCCGAGCCCGCCTCCGAGGAGCAGAGGGGCGGGGGGCCAGGTGGCACCCGTGCGTGCCCTTTGGGGGGGGGGGGCCGGCCAAGGGCAGGCGTGCGAGTGCTGGCGCTGCAAGGTAATCAGTCATGCTACCAGAGTCAACGGGAGGACGCGCGAGGCTAGGGTCAGGTCGGGCATGTCCCCCATACAGGCGGATTGGGGACGAAACATCATAAATAAGCAAAAATATTAACAAATAGGCAAAAAATACTCCAAAAGTCCTCCCCGGACTATGTTTTGATATTCCTCCTGTGGAGGGACAGGCCCGATCTGAGGCTAGGGGGATAGCTCCCGCCCTGGCGGCAACGGCGTGCTGGAGCCAAGGCGAGCGAGCGCCCCCCCCCACGATATGAAAGTATGAAAGCACCAGCAGGCGGGCACGGTCCCCACGGGCAATCGACTTGTGGGGACCAAGCCGCGAAAATTAAGGCAAATGCAGGTACACCAAATCCTAATACATCCAGGCGTCAATCGCGCGAGTCGAGGGATACCAGAAGTCGTTACGCAGTCAACGGCAGCAGAGAAAAGCTGGTGTGCCACCTATCGGGCATGGCCAATCGAAAGCTATCGGCAGCCCCGGCACCCGCGCCCGGGTGGCGCGCGTGCGTGTGCCGCACAAGCGGGGCGCCCAGGGGGGGGCGCCTACACACACTCACACACACTCATACTGTTTAGGCGGCGCCAAGGCAGAGGCAGTCCGCACCAGCGTGTGGCTTTTCGGGGTAACCAGAAGGCGGAATGTCCAGCGTGCAAGGGGGAGGGACAAGACGAGGGCGGCCGCACACAGACACACACACACACACACATACACACTCTCTCTCCCACACACACTGAGGCCACTCAGAGCTGCCGGCTGCGGCGGGGAGACGCCGGGGGGGAGGAGCAGCGCCGGCACAGGCTGTACCGAGCTGCACTGAACTGAAGCTGGGGGGGAGGCAGCACTGTGCTGCAACTGGCGAAGGAGCAATACAACGTAGCGAACCCCGACGCGGCCCAAGGCACAGTCCAAGGATGGGCCGAGCGACGAGATCACACACATTCAGCCCCCCGGATCCAAGCCTTAAGCCGGGCCTGTCCCCCTACGGGCCGATTCTGGCCGGAAAAAATAAAAATGTTCAACAAATCTCACAAAATGGTCAAAAGTGGTTCAAAAAAAAACAAAAAATCGTCCACAGACTATTTTTAAACTATTTTTGAATATCCGCCCTGTAGAGGAACAGGCCCGACTTGATCCCAGCCACCCGTGAGCGCCGCCGCCTCGTCCGCCTCTGCGGCCCAGCTCACCGCGCGGCCCAGGTCGGGGCCGTGCCCCTCCTGGAAGAAACTCCCGATGAAGAACTCCTGCGGCGCGCCATCGCTCGAGCGTCCCTTGCCCGTGCACGCTTTGGCGTCGTGATTTGTTGATGGACACCAGAAGTGGGAGGGGGGAAGGAGGTGGAGGACAAGGTGGAGGAGGAGGAGGACGAGAAGGAGGAGGTGGAGGAGGAGGACTCCCTCCCCCTCCAACTGATGGTGGTGGTGGTAGAAAACAGGCCCATCATTGTTTGTTCGGTCAGATTTTTCCTTTTTCAGCCATCCTCAGCTGAAAGGTTCAGGTTAGAGTTAGGAGCACTCGGGGGCACCCAACGGCCTCGAGGAGTCCAAGGGGCTCTCGACGGCACCTCCACATCAGCAAACTCCACTGGAGGCGAATCATTTTTGTTGAGGGCAGGGTAATCCAGCCTGCTGCTCGATGATCCTTGCCGAAAACAATGCGCACGTCCGAGCGATGCCAAGCCAGGGATGCACTTCGGCGGCGTGCCCGGGGGGGGGGGAGTGAGAGGGCGCAGGTCTTCTCAGGAGGGCTTCTCAGAAGCCGTCGCGCCTTCTGAGAGGGCGTCTCTGTCTTCGGAGAAGGCTCAGAAGACTTCCCCAAAGGCGCGAGGGCTTATGGGAAGCCCCGCCGCCATCTTCGAGGCCTCCTGGATGGTCCGCGCCGCTTCGCCAATGCATCGCCGATGCATCGGCGACGCATCGGCGACGTCGGCGATGCATCGGCTCCACATCGAGCCGCATCGCCGATACATCGGCGACACAGCGCGATCCTCCGACTCCATCTACTCTAATCCCATCTATCGGCGGTGGACAGACCTCCCTTTAGCACACCACACTTGAATGAGAACGGCCTAGGACAAAAACCGACGGACCTGGACCCGCGAAAATGACGATCGCGACGCCCTCTCGCGAAAACGGCCAATTCGCTCATCGACGTGTCAGGGTAGGAGGTCTGCCCCCTCTCGCTTCCCTCCACAAGGGCTCCCAACTTCGCGCTTCGCGCTGCGCGAAGCGCGAAGTGCGAATAACTTCGCGCTCTCGCGCCTTCTCCCATGGGAGAAGAGGAGGATGAAGAGGAATCGGAACCGAACCGCGAAGCGCGAAGCACGAGTAACGTCGCGCCCTCGATGGCGCCCTTGCGAATCTGGGAGGCCTGGACATCTGAGGCCTGCCCCCTCTCGCTTCTCTCCCGGGCTCGCCGCCGACCTTCGAGACCGCACCGGGTCAGCCAGGCCTCCTCCTCCTCCTCCTCCTCCTCCTCCTCATCTTCCTCCTCCCAAAACCCTTTTACAAGAAGAGCTGCCCAACCCGAGAAGGATGTAGAAGCTCTGGGCAAGCCCGCCGCCCCGTGCGCAGGAATGCGCGCGCGCCAGCAGGCGGCCACAACACCAGAAGTATCGTTTATCCGATCCCCATCCCCAGCGGCGTGACCTGGGCCCCACTGGCCGAGTTACCCCCTAGATGGGGATATAGGTCGTTCCCTTCGGGTTTCGAGGGGTGTACCCCCAACTGGGGTGGTAATTTAGTGGGGGTCTCGAAGGGGATGGGGATGGGGATGGGGATCGGTTAAACGATACCGATTAGAATAACTGGTGCTCCAATCTAGCCCGACGTCCTGGTGTTGCAAGTTCCGCGGCGGGGGGGCGGAAAGTGGGAATCGGCCCCACGTGGCTCTCGAACTGATGTTAGCCAGACAGGCTTGGCTGACCCCCGTCGGAGCTGACCCTCGCTACCTGCGCAGAGGCGTCACAAATGGGGTCCGAGGAGATGGGGTCGGAGGATCGCGCCGCATCGCAGATGCATCGCCGATGCATCACCGATGCATCGGTGACGTCGGCGACGCATCGGCGCCGCCAGCGTGGGGAAAATCGGGCTCCACAAAAAGCCGCATCGGCGCGGCATCGCCGATGCGGCGCGATCCTCCGACCCTTTCCGCACTCCTACCTGCAATTTACGGTGACAAAACTCACTGGGTCATGATCTCAGCGAGCGCACGGGCCCGTGGAACCCAACCGCGCAGACAAGTCCATTCTGCAGTTCGTGAAGCAGTGATGGCGAAAGCGGCGGCCGCGACGCCAACGATGTTGGAGATGACAATAGAGATGGCGGTGATGCCGATGGTGATGAGCGTGGAGATGCGGACGGCACGATCTCAACGACCCCATCTGGGAGGCCCAGAGCCAGAGGAAATCTGAGCCTCGTTTACCCGACCCCTATCCCCATGGGCGTGGCCCGGGCCCCACTTGCCGACCTGCCCGCCGAGACGAGGACAGAGGAGGCTTCTGCGGGGCTTCGCAGGGCATATCCCCGACGGGGGCGACGACATGGAGGGGGGTCTGGATGAGGCTGGGGATTCGGTGCTCGGTGGAACGATCCCGAGAAGTGGCTGGCCCCCCGGGGGGACAGCCGGACCCCCCCGCTGCGTGCGCCGCGGCTCCTGCGTCTCGCCCGCGTCCGCCGGCGGAGGCGTCTCCGGCCTGTCCCGGTGCGCCTCCAGTATGGCCTCCATCTCCTGCGGGCTCTGCGGCGGGGCCCGGCGGGCACGCCCGGCGAGCGCCCCGCGGCTGTCCCGTGGCTGTCCCACGGGGCAGCCCTGGCCGCCCGAGGCTTTGTGCCCGTCTTTTTTGTTGGTCTGCTTCTTCTGGTTTGACTCTCTGTGTGTTTTTGTTTGTTTGCTTTGGCGCTCCGCTGTTGGCTCTGTGTTTGCCCGTCACGGGCACAACAAGAACAGGCACCAAAAAGCACAACAACTGCCAAAACAGACAAAAAAACAAGAAAACAAAAAAACACACAAAAAAAAAAAAAAGCCGCCCGGGTCAGCCGCGGGACTCGCGCGGCTGCCCCGTGGTCATTATGTAGTTGTCCCGGCGATTGTTTTGATGGCTGCTCCGACGGTTGCCGCGATGGTTGTCCTGATGCTTGTCCCGCGGTTGTCCCGCGGCTGTCCCGTGGTTGGCCTGTGGTTGTGTCGACGGTGGTCCCAATGGTGGTCCCGATGTATGTCCCAGTGGCCGTTCGCATGGTTGTCCCGCTCGTTGCCATCGATAATTGTTCCGATGGTTGTCCCCATGATTGTATCGACGGGTGTCTGGGGAGAAGAGGAACAACCGGGCCGTCGAGATGAGAGATAAACTGGCTGTGGCGGTGGCATCCCTCCTGCCTTGGGCAGCGGGTGCCCTTCCCTTCTCCTCTTCCTCCTCACACCCTCTCCTAGCTCTAGTGGCGGGCATGGTTGTCCCCATGGTTCACCATGGTTGTCCCAATACATGCCCCGATGATTGTCCCCATAATTGCCCCGATTGTTATCCAAATGGCTGTCCCCATGGTTGTCCCGATGGTTGTCTCAATGGTTTTTCAATTTGATTGTTCTGATGGTTGTCCCGATGATTGTCCCCATAGTTATCCCAATGGCTGTCCCAATATGTTCTAGCAACACCAATACGCTCGGAGCCTTCGGTGACAGCAGATGCTGGCCGACATGCCAACAACACACATGCACTGGTTGTCCAGACGGTTGCCCCGAGCGATATGAACAGACATATCATGAACACATATGTGTATATATACACAGTGGTATCAATCGAGAGATCGAAAGTGAGGTTACTATTGGTATCGGTAGATAGTGGTATCAGTGTTCTCTGAGAAATTTCTCAGGGTGGAGGGCATAGGGTGAAATCCATATGGGCTGTTGCACCTCGAGCATCAATCCGTCTTGTGATTCACCGTTTGCAGATTCAAGCCTCGAAGATCCGTCGAAACTGCATTTCAGATTTCACCCTTGGCCCTCCACCCGAAGAACATGCTCGGGACACCCAGGACGGCCGTCGTCGCCGCCGCCGCCGCCGTCGGCCGTGGTCGTCGGTGCCGTGGACGCGGTCGTCGTCCGCGCTCGGCGGCGCGCGGCGGGGGGCTCCAGGACCCTGCGGCAGAGCTGCGCGTTCGCGTCCTGCTCGCGGACCAGGCTCTGCTCGAGCTCCTGCGCGGCGCCGTCGGCGCCGCCGCCGCCCTCGTGTCCGCGGCCGTCGCGGTCGCCCCTGGCCGCGGTCGCGGTCGCCGCCGCCGCCCTCGCCGCGGTCCTCGTCGCCGTCGTCGTGGTCGCCCGGCTTCTGGGCGTTCTCCGGCCTCCTCAAGGCGTGGCCCGCCGAGCTGCGACGGGCGTTACGCATCCCATGTAATGGTACGCCGCTATGGGGCGCAAGACGAAGCCAGGACGAGGATTATGTGATCCCCATCGTACTTACCACATCCCAGAAATAACCTCGAGCAACCAGAACATGTATCGAAGTAGTGCCTGTCCGACACCCTGGCGAAGTGTCGACCGACAATCGCCCCCCAGGGCCCGACACGTGAGAACCGTAGAATTCTGGTACTGCCATGGTGCTTGAAACTCTTTCTTTCTGGTGATAGGTCGGGACATCATAAGACGAGGATAGCATCGGGCGAAGGTAAATCGGACATCTCTGGTATCTGGCGGCTCTGGAAGATGTCTCGGGCGCCGCGGCCTTGGCAGAGCGTTCCAGAGTGTTCTGAGAGCGCTCTGGCACGCCCTGGGGCCGATGTATCCTCGTCTAGCCCCGCCCGAGGGAGCCCATCGCCGTGTTGAGTGTGGGAGAAAAGCAATTCGAGGATGGAGAGAACCCCCTTTAGCAAAACGCGGTTTGGTGAAAACGACCCGATGCCCACACCTAGCGGGCGCAGGCCTGGAAAATGACGGCCGCGGCGCCCTCTCGAGAACCGAAAACGGACAATTCACTAATCGACGTGTCACCTTTGGTCGGGGGCGCGCAAACATGGAGTATCGATCCATGGATCTGGCGCGCGGTCGCCAAATTCATGGATCGTGGGAGGTGCCTTCCCCAAACTGCGGCCAGTGCCGCCTCGTTCGTCGGCAGAAATCCGCGATTTCCCCTTGGAAACGGGACCCGTCGCTAATCCACGCCCCCTTGAGCCATGTCTGCGATCGCCTGAGGTGGGGGTTCTGTCCGCCACCGAGCATTGCCTCCCGATAAAACGCGAGAGCAGCACGCTGACGAGCTCCCAACGGGGGCGCGCCTGCCATGGGCTCGGACGTGCACTCCCCGTGCATGGTTCGGCTTCGTGCGCTTACATGCGGGGCGATGACCTAAGGAACTCAAAATAAGGAACGAGACCCTTTTTTCCTTAAGTGTAGCTTCGATCTCCGATCGATTTTTTCGCAGAATGATCCAGGATACTCCACGATGGTCCTCCCCGAGGAAACATTAGAGGCCTCGGTCCGAGTAGATGGGGTTTACCCCAGGAAGCATTTAAGAACCCCCCCGGCGATATCGTAGCACCGCATTTTTTGTTCGATATTCCGAGGGGCCGAAATAACCGAACGATAGCTTTAGCATCCATCATCATCATCATGCTTATCATCATCAGGTAACGCTTCCAGGGTGCGGAAGGGTTATCGATTTGCCGGAGGGGGGGGGGTTAAGGATCGCGCCGCATCGCCGATGCATCGCCGATGCATCGGCGATGCATCGGCGACGTCGGCGATGCATCGGCGACGTCGGCGTGGGGAAACACGGTCTCCACATCGAGCCGCATCGTCGATGCATCGGCGATACGGCGCGATCCTCCGACCCCATCTACTCGGACCCCATCTTGGAGGCCTAGAAAAATGCACACGTCCGAGCAATGCCAAGCGTGTCGTTGATGCCCCCTCCCGAAGCCGGCAAGCAAGGCAAATCACCGCAGCAGACTCGCGGCCACGGGCGGGAACAAGAGACAACCGCAGCTCGTGATCGATCCCCAGACCCCTCCCCAGGGTCCAAACGCGCCAGCCTTCCGAACGGCGTCCAGCCATGCCGACGAAGGCCCCGCCCCCCGAAGGCCAACTATCATTGCACTGGTCTTGCAGACGTGCTGCTGCGGATTTCTGCGTGGATGTTGCGAGCGAAAAACGAAGTGAATTTCGCGTGGTTTCGTTTTGGTCTTCATCCCTGGCCCCCCAAAAACCCGCACGAAATTCCGAAATTCACATCGAAATCCGGAACGAGATTCTCCAAGACTCCGGGCCCACCCCATCTTTCGTTTCCGAACGAGATCCGCTCTGCGAAGTGGGCGCCATGACAACTACACACCGCTGCCTCAGCTCGCCCTGTGTTGGGCACAGTCTTAAGTCGGGCATGTCCCCCTACAGGCGGATTGTGGACGACAGATAAAAAGTAGTCCCAAACGAATCATAAACACGCGATGTTGTTGAAACATCTCCAGACGATGTTTCGCCTATTCTTAAATATTCCTCCTGTAGAGGGACAGGCCCGACTTAAGCATCGTCGTGGAGACTTACACGAAGGACGCGGATGCAAGGGGAATCGGGAGCGGCCAAGAGGGGAGTGTCCAAGAGGGGGGGTGCAGATCATGACCGGCGGCATGTGCGCGGCCCAGCGGGGGGCCAGGGACGCAATGAAATGAGAAGAGGCGCCATAAAATCAGGGAAACTGTCATGGCCCCCGCCATGATATCCCCCCCCCCCTAGTCGTCACCCCCTCCTTTGCCGCCCCCGAGGGAAGCGGGTCCTCGACCCCTGGGCCTTCCATTAAGTTGGGCCTGTCCCCCTACAGGGGGATTTTCGACGAAAAATAAAAGATATCCCAAACAGAATCCAAAAAATAGTCCCAAAATAGTCTGGGGACTATCTTTTCAGTATTTGTGTTACCCTTTTGGGGTATGTTTGGGCGCGATGCGTGGGCCAGCCAGAGGTGGTCTTCGCAGGATCCTGCAGGATCCGGTGCCCTGGCTGACCCCCGTCTGCATTGACCCCCGTCTCGAGGCTCCCGACCTCGACCCCATGGGCCCTCCCCTGGGACCCGCTCCTCCTCCCGGGACGCCTCCCGACACCCCGCGGGGGGGGGGCCCCCCGGGGGGCACCCAGGGCGCCCGAAGACCTGGAGAGAAGCCCGAGGACACGCCTCCTTCCCCAGACGCAGGGCCTGGAGGGCCTGCTTTCCACCACCACCACCACCATGAGTTGGAGGGAGGAAGGAGGAGGAGGAGAAGGAGGAGGAGGAGGGGGAGGAGGAGGGGGAGGGGGAGGAGGAGGAGGAGGAGGAGGGGGAGGAGGAGGAGGAAAGGGAGGAGGAGGAAGAGGAGGAAGAGGACAAAGAGGAGGAGGAGGAGGAGGAGGAGGAGGAGGAGGAGGAGGAGGAGAGGAGGAGGACCCCCTCCCCCTCCAACTTATGGTGGTGGTGTTGGTGGGAAACAAGCCCATCATGGCCGCTCCGATCTGCTTGATGCGTGGGCCTCCAGTGGTCTGGACGACTTCCACTCGGGCCACTTTCTCGTCCTGGACAAGCCCCGACGGTCCCGGGTCCCGTGGAGAGCCCCGGCCCACACACTGGCCGCTTCAGTGTGGACGGGAGCCTCGGATCTGTCGAAGAACCAAGACACCATGAACCTAGACTGTTGGAGGTCGCGCGGCCCCCTGGGACATTTTATGGCTACCCGTCGGTCAGAAGAAGTGGGCGGAAACTGATGGGCCTGTTTTCCACCACCACCACCATAAGTTGGAGGGGGGAAGGAGGAGGAGGACGAGGAAGGAGGAGGAGGAGGAGGAGGAGGAGAGGGACCCCCTCCCCCTCCAATTTATGGTGGTGGTGGTGGGAAACATGCCCATGAAGTCGGAAGGCGCTGACAATAGATTTGGCGCCCGCGCGCCCCCTTGGAAGAGGAGGGAAGCGGGAACACCACTCGACTCGCAAAGCAGAAAGGCGCCCAGAGCAGAGTGGGACTTTTTGGACGCCCGAAATGGGTACGAAAAATGGGTACAATGCCTTTAACAAATGCTGTCCCAAACCAACAGCGGCCGCTGTTGGGCAGGCGGCCTTCTGTCTCAAATGGACACAGGCCGCGGCGGCACCAACAGCGAGTCCTGTTCGAAATGAACAGGAACTGTTGGGCATTATACCCATTCTTCCCGTACCCATTTCGGTCGTCCCGACACTTGGGCACCAAAAGAATACCCACGTTCAACGACCGGCGACTATGACCGGCCCGCCGTTCCGTTCCGCCCCGCACCGCGGAGCAGCCTCCCAGAGGTGTGGGCACCTTCCCTACAAGGCCGGCTGTTCGACCCAAGTCCTCTCTTGACGGACGGGAAGTCCAAAACAGCCGCAAGCTGGCCACTCCAATCATTTCGGGAGCTCGGACCTCTGGGTCCGTCGCCGTGACCTCTGCCGCGCCCCCGAGAAAGAGGAGGAGGAGGACCAGCGTAAACCCAAGAGTCATCAACGATGTTGGAATACGTCCCCCCTCCAAACTCCCTCTTCATAGGCTCCTACAACGGTTCATCTCCACTGAGAGAACTGCCTCATCTGAAGACAACCGCTAGAATATTCTGAAGCATGCCCACGCATTGTTCTCGGGATTCCATCGCCGCGGATCAACCTGACTGTTGCGTCCTGACGAACTTGAACCGTGCCAGAACACATCCCTGGGACCTCAACACCGCAGCTCTACGTAAATGTTGCACCCGCATGAGCCTGAATCTTTTCAAAACACAATGTCTGGCATGGGTATCCCTGAAACCCTTGTACCTTTGTAGACGAATGTGCGCGGGCTCAAGCGAGAAACACAGTTTGAAAAAAAACCGCCCTCAAGCAATGAAGCACTTGCAAACTTGTAAAACGAATGTACGCAACGCTCAGGCGAGAACGACATGGTGAAAACCACCCGCCCTTATTATGTGAAGCTCTTGAAGTTTAAGTTGTCATATATATAGGTGTATATATATACACATATATATATGAAGAAACGACTGTGCGCGGCGCGAAGGCGATAACCACACTTTGAAAAGGAGCCGCCCTCAATCCGTGGAGCTCTTAAAAAGGTTTGAAACGAATGTGCGCGGCGCTAAGGCGAGAGAGACATGTTGAAAACCAGTCGCCCTCCATTCGTGAAACTTTTGTGCAAATGCTTAAAATACTCCAAAATGGTCAACAAAAATATTCAACCAATAGCCCTCAGACTAGTTTCTATCATTTTTGACTATTCCCCCTGTAGAGGGACAGGCCCGACTTAAGCCTTGAGGGAAACGGGCCCTGGACCCCAGGGCCCGTCCCACTGGAACGAGCTCTCAATCCTGCACCGTTTCTCTGACAATCCTGGGGCCCGTGGCGGGCCCCGAGGGAACGACAACGGCGAAACACCTCAGGACCTTCTTCCCCCCTGGCGACTAGACCCCCCTGGCGACAATAGATCCCCCCCCATCTGGCCCAGGAGCTTGAGCTTCAAAACTGCCGCTCCCCCCCACGATCCCGTCCAGAGGCGCGCGATAACACCTCAGGGCCCCGAGGGCCCGACAGCGGCGAAACACCTCAGGACGCGCTTCCCCCCCCCCCCGGCGATCGGACCCCCCCCTCCCCTTGGCCCGGCTGCTTGAGCTTCACAACTGCCACTCCCTCCCGCCCCCAATCCCTCCTGGCGGCGCGCGCCAATCCCCCCGCCCCCAACGAACCCTAAATTTTGGAGTCCCCAAACGGTGCGGTGACAGACAGTGCGGTGACCTCGAAATCCCCCAAGACCTCACCGCACGGTCCGTCACCGCACGGTTTTGGGACCCCGGAGGCCCCTGTCGCCCGAGACATCCTTGAAGAGGGGCTCGAATCCCAAAACCGTGCGGTGAGACCCCGACTCCCCACCGGCTCACCGCACGGTGTGGTCACCGCCCCGTTTGCGGGCCCCCGAAAAAGGGGGGGCATGATCCTGCCATCCGGAGTACTCGGACCCCGCCAGGGAAAGGGGAACAAAAGGTGACATAAACATGACAACTCGGAGGTCCGCGCGGATCTCTCGGATCGGTGCTGGGGCCCCCCCGGCGGCGCCTCCGGCGCCGCCCCTGGCGCGCTCCGCGCGCCCGGGGGGAGGGGGATCCAGCGCGGATGCGAGAAATCCGCGCGGACCTCCGAGTTGTTCTGTTTATGCCCCTTTTTGTTCCCTGCATGGGAGGCCCAGGGCGTGGCGGCGGGCCCGCCGCCCCGCCCGCGCCGGCTCCTGCAGCTCGGCCAGCTGCTCGGCCAGCTGCTGCTCGGCCAGCTGCTGCTGCACCTCGGACAGCTGGCGCCTGCCCCCCTAGGGAGGGGCCGCGCGCCCGCCGCGGGCGGGCGGCAGGCCGCCGCCGCCGCCGCCGCTCCGCGATGCGCCCCCCTTCGGAAGCTGGGCGAGGCGGATTGCGGACGACAGATCAAAAATAGTCCCAAACGAATCATAAAAAACGCGATGTTTGGAAACATCTCCAGACGATGTTTTGCCTATTCTGGAATAGTCCTCCCGTGGAGGGACAGGCCGACTTAAGCATCGTCGTGGAGACTTAGCACGAAGGGCGCGGACGCGAGGGGAATCGGGAGCGGCCCAGAGGGGGGTGTCCAAGAGGGGGGGTGCAAATCATGACCGGCGGCACGTGCGCGGCGCAGCGGGGGGGCCCGGGACGCAATGAAGTGAGAGGAGGCGCCGTAAAATCTGGGGAGATATCATGGCCCCCTCCATGATATCCACCCCCCCCTGGTCATCACCCCCCTCTTTGCCGCCCCCGATCCTTGGCTGCCCAAACGGCCTTCTGGAAGAATTATCCCGGCAAAGCAACCTAACAGCGATGTGTAGGAGCATATCTGGAAGCATTCCCCTTAAGATTCAGATGAGAATCCAGTTGTAGAATTCTGCTGTTCTCGCAGTCGTAGTCGCATTCGCGATGACAGTCGCAGTGGCAACGGCAGTCGCAGTCACAGCCTCAGCCTCAGCCTGCCTCAGCCTCAGCCTCAGCCTGCCTCAGCCTCAGCCTGCCTCAGCCTCAGCCTCAGCCTGCTTCAGCCTCAGCCTCAGTCTGCCTTCAGCCTCGGCCTCAGCCTCAGCCTGCCTCAGCCTCAGCCTGCATCAGCCTCAGCCTCAGCCTCAGCCTGCCTCAGCATCAGCCTGCCTCAGCCTCAGCCTCAGCCTGCCTCAGCCTCAGCCTCAGCCTGCTTCAGCCTCAGCCTCAGTCTGCCTTCAGCCTCGGCCTCAGCCTCAACCTGCCTCAGCCTCAGCCTGCCTCAGCCTCAGCATCAGCCTGCCTCAGCATTCAAAATGTGGCCCGGGAATGGAGTTCTGGGAACTCGAAGAACACGAAGTGGCCTACAGTTGGCTCCGGGCATTCAAAATCATGCCCAGGAATGGAGTTCTGGGAACTCGAAGACCACGAAGTGGCCTACAGTTGGCTCCGGGCATTCAAAATCATGCCCAGGAATGGAGTTCTGGGAACTCGAAGACCACGAAGTGGCCTACAGTTGGCTCCGGGCATTCAAAATGTAGCCTGGGAATGGAGTTCTGGGAACTCGAAGACCACGAAGTGGCCTACAGTTGGCTCCGGGCATTCAGAATGTGGCCCGGGAATGGAGTTCTGGGACCTCGAAGACCACGAAGTGTGTAACTGTTTGCTTACCTGCGCACACGGGACTCCGCCTCGATTTGGCCTACCAGCGAGGGGGGAAGCTGCGGCTGATCGACGTCGCGATCACGTTCCCCTTGAAGCCGACCGGGGGGTCGCGCAGGAAGGCGGCCGGCCGCGGATTCTCCCCGCATCCTGCCCGGAACCCCCTGGGCAGTCAAGATGCTCTCTGTTGACACTACTAGAAACCTATCAGTCTTCGCTGTTAGGTAAAACGAATTCCCGGAATCAGGCCCCTTGCACCAGATGATATAAGCGGACTGCTTCCCGGAGGAAGTAGCAATTTCCCGGAGCTCCGTTTCAGCAGCCACGGATTTGCCAGCCTTCACCCGGCTTCTGACCCCCTCTTCCTCCCCAGTTCCTCGTGCCCTCGCTCTGCGGAATGTATCGACCCA